CAAGGGCAGGCTGTTTGACACCTCCCCCAGGGGAGGAGCAGTCTGTTAGGCCACAGAGGAGGACTTTGCAGCCAGCCCTGAAGATACCTGATAAAACAGGGTCAGATGAAAGGGGAGGAGGTCCTCCCCTATCAGGGGACTTGGAAAGGGGCAGGGAGGAGACCAGGGAGGGAGTGTGAGGTTGGGGAGGGAATGAGGAAGCGGGATACACCTGGGACACAGAGTTAACAAAATTTAACTAAAAAGAAAAATAAAATAAAAAAAAGGTATACGTATGTAACAAAAATTTAAAAAATACAGCTTACCATATTGTGAAAAAAAAAAAAAAAGAAAGAAAGAAATGCACCTCTGCAACAAAGATAAACACTACCTCAGAGTCAAGGGCTAGAAAAATGTCTTTCAAGCAAACAGACCCAGAAAGCAATCTGGGGTAGCTATCCTAATATCTAATAAAATAAACTTTCAACCAAAATTAATCAAAAAAATATGAGGAGGCGCACTACATTCTCATGAAAGGAAAAAGAAAAAAATCTACCCAAAGAACATCACAATTCTGAACCTCAGTGCCCCAAATACAAGAGCACCTACACTCATAAATGAAACATTATTAAAACTTAAATCACACAATAGTGGGAGACTTCAACACCGCACTTTCACCAAATGACAGATCATCTAGACAGAAACCAAATAGGGAAATAAAGGCACTTACGAAGGTCCTAAATCAAATGGACCTAAAAGATGTCTACAGAACTTTTCACCCAAATTCAAAAGATTATAACTTCTTTTGAGCACCTCATGGAACCGTCTCCAAAATAGACCATATAGTTGGTCTCAAAGCAAGCCTCAACAGATACAAGAAGATTGAAATAAGGCCCTGTATTCTATCTAACCACCATGGACTAAAGTTGGATTTCCACAACAATGAAATTAGCAAAAAGCCTACATGTACATGGAAAATAATAACTTGCTGTTCAATGACAGCTTGGTTAAGGGAGAAATAAAGAAAGAAATTAAAGACTTCCTAGAATTAATGATAATGACGGTACAGCATATCCCAATTTATGAGAAACAATAAATGCAGTGCTCAAAGGAATGTTCATCGCACTAAGTTCCTTCAAGAAGAAATTTGTCACATCTCATACAAGCAACTTAGTGGCCCAACTGATATCTCTAGAAAAAAAAAGTATCAAATACACCCAAGAGGAGTAGATGGCTGGAAATAATCAAACTCAGGGCTGAAATCAATCAATGAGAAATAAATAAAACTATTCAAAGAATCAAAGAAACCAACAGCTTGTTGTTTGAGAAAATCAACAAGATAGACAAAAATTTAACCAAACAAACTAAAAGGCAGAGAGAAACTATCCAAATCAGCAAAATCAGAAATGAAAAGGGGGACATAACTACAGACACTGAGAAAATCCAAACAAACATTAGGTCGTATTACAAAAGCCTCCAATGCCATAAAATTTTAAAATCTAATAGAAATGGACAATTTTCTTGATAGATTCCATTTACCAAAGTTAAGTCAAGATTAGGTAGAAAGATTGAATAGTCCTATATCCCCCAAGGAAATAGAAGCAGTCATCAACAGTCTTGCTTCCAAAAAAGCCCTGGGACAGATGGGTTCATTGCAGAATTCTATCAGACCTTAAAAAAGTGCTAATTCCAATTCTCTTCAAACAATTCCACAAAATAGAAACAGAAGGAACATTACCAAACTCATTGCATGAAGCCACAGTCACCTTGATACCTACACCAAACCAAGATCAAACCAAAAAAAGAGTACATCAGACCAATCTCTCTTATGAACATTTATGCAAAAATACTCAATAAAATACTTGCAAACTGAATCCAAGAACACATCAAAGACATCATCCACCATCACAAAGTAGGCTTCATCCCAGGCATGCAAAGGTGTTTCAACATAAGGAAATCCATCAAAGTAATCCACTACATAAACAAACTGAAGGAGAAATACCACATGATCATCTCCTTAGATGCAGAAAAAGCATTTGACAAAATCCAACACCCATTCATGTTTAAAGACTTGGAGAGATCTGAGACAAAAGGCACATACCTAAACATAGTAAAGGCACTATACAGCAAGCCTATAGCGGACATCAAACTCAATGGAGAGAAACTTAAATCAATCCCATTGAAATCAGGGACAAGGCAAGGTTGTCCTCTCTCTCCATATCTCTTCAACATAGTACTTGAAGTCCTAGCTAAAGCAATAAGACAGCTAAGGAGATCAAAGGGATATATACTGAAAAGGAAGAGGTCAAAGTGTTACTATTCCCAGATGATATGAGAGTATACATGAGTGACCCCCAAAATTCAACCAAAGAACTCCTTCAGAGGAAAAACATCTTCAAAAAAGTGGCTGGATACAAAATCAACTCAAAAAAAAAAAAATCAGAAGCCCTCCTGTATACCAAAGACAAAAGGGCCAATGAAGAAATCAGGAAAACAACACCCATCACAAAAGCCACTAATAACAAAAATACCTTGGGGTGACTCTAACCAAGCAAGTGAAAGAACTGTTTGAAAAAACAAAACAAAACAAAACAAAACAAAACAAAACAAAACAAAACTTCAAGTCTCTGAAGAAAGAAATTGAAGAAGATATCAGAAGATGGAAAAATCTCCCATGCTCATAAATTGGTAGGATTAACATTGTGAAAATGCCATCCTGCCAAAAGCAATCTAGAGATTCAGTACAGTACCTATCAAAACACCAACACAATTCTTTACAGACCTTGAAAGAAAGATTCTCAGCTTTAAATGGAGAAGCAAAAATCCCAGAATTTCCAAAACTATTCTTTAAAACAACAGATCATCTGGAGGTATCTCCATCCCTCATCTCAAGCTCTACTACGGAGCAATAATAATAAAAACCACATGGTATTGGCATGGAAAGACAAAGGAGGATCAATGCAACAGAATAGAAGATCCAGAAATAAACCCACACATCTAGGAATACTTGATTTTTGACAAAAGAAGCCAAAACAATTTAATGGGGAAAAAAGGACAGCATATTTAACAAATGGTGCTGGTCCAACTGGATGTCTTCATGCAGAAAAATGAAAATAGATTAATATTTATCACCCTGCACAAAACTAAAGACCAAGTAGATCAAAGACCTCAACATAAAACCAGGTACTCTAAATTGGTTAGAAGAAAAAGTGGGGAAGAGCCTAGAACTCATTGGCACAGGAGACAACTTCCTGAACAGAACACCAACAGCGCAAGTTCTAAGAGCAACAATCAATAAATGAGACCTCATGAAACTGAAAACTTCTGTAAAGCAAAAGACACTACTGTCAGAACAAAAATGACAGCCTACAGACTGGGAAAGTATGTTCACCAACCCTATATCTGACAGAGGGCTGATATACAGAATTTATAAAGAACTAAAGAAGTTAAAAGGCAATAAATCAAGCAATCCATTTAAAAATGGGGTATGGAGCTAAGGAGAGAATTCTCTGTAAAGGAATATAGAATGGCAGAGAAATACTTAAAGAGATGCTCAACGGCCTTAGCCATCAGAGAGATGCAAATTAACCATACCCTGAGATTTCACCTTACACCCATCAAAATGGCTAAAATAAAAACCCCAAGGGACAACAAATGTTGGAGAGGCTGTGGAGAAAAGGGAACCATCCTCCATTGCTGGTGAGAATGTACCAGGTACGACAACTTTCAAAATCAATCTGGTGCTTTATCAGACAATTAAGAATAGCACTTACTCAAGACCCAGCTATACCACTCCTAGGCATATATCCAAAAGATGTTCAAATACACAACAAGGACATTTGCTCAACCATGATTTTAGCAGCTTTATTTGTAATAGCCAAAACCTGGAAACAACCCAGATGTCCATTAATGGAGGAATGGATACAGAAATTGTGGTATGTTTACATAATGGACTACTACTCAACAATTAAAAACGAGGAACTCACGAAATTTGCAGGCAAATGGTGGGATCTAGAAAAAAAATCATTCTGAGGTATCCCAGAAGGAGAAAGACACACATGGTATATACTCACTTATTTAGACCTATAAGATATGATAAACATAATGAAATCTATACACCTAAAGAGGATAAACAAGAAAGAGAACCCAGAGTAAGATGATCAATCCTCACTTAGAAAGACAAATGGGATGGGCATTAGATGTAGGAGAAAAGTAACAGGACAGGAGCCTACAAGAGGGCCTCTGAAAGACTCTACCTAGCAGTGTATCAAAGCAGATACTGTGACTCATAACCAAACCTTTGGTAGATTGCAGGGATAATATGAAAGAAGGGGGAGTTAATATGACCTGGTGAGGACAGGAGCTCCACAAGGACCTAATATTTCTGGGCACAGGGGTCTTATATGAGACTGTTTCTCCAATCAAGGACCAGATATGGATATAACCTATAATCTCTGTTCAGATGTAGCCCACGGTATCTCAGTATCCAAGTGGGGACCCTAGTAAGGGGAACAGGGACTATTTCTGACATGAATTCAATGGTGGGCACTTTGATCTACCCACCCCCCAAGGGAGGAGCAGCCCTGCTAGGCCACAGAGGAGGACATTACAGCCAGTCCAGAAGATACCTGATAAACCAGGGTCAGATGAAAGGGGAGGAGGTCCTCCCCAAACAGTGGACTTGGAAAGGGGCAAGGAGGAGATGAGGAAGGTGGGGTGTGATTGAGAGGGAATGAGGGAGCAGGACATAGCTGGGATACACATTTAATAAAATGTAACTTAAAAAATTAAAAACGAATAAAATTTAAAAGAAGAGAATGTATTCAGTAAAAGTAAAAAAAAAGTACATATATAGCTATGTTTAGATGAACCACTAAAAAGTAGTTACTAAAGAATATACAAAATGTTAAATTAAAAAAAAACTTGTATTCTCACTTTTTCCACTGTTTTCCTTTCAATAAGTAGTCAAACATGTTTGTTTGTTTTTTGTTTGATTGTTTGTTTGTTTGTTTTGCTTACAGAAATTGACCCCAGTCAGTTAAGACGTCAGCTGTGTGTAGAAAGTCAGGCTGCCATAGAGAGAATAATTCACTTTGGCCGAAAGCTACAAGCCATGAGTGAGTGGCTGAGGAGAGAATTTGGCAAGAACACAGCAAACAGGAAAATGCTGAAGGTAAGAATGTTGTTTGCTTTCTGTGATAAAATACCTGGGATATTTGGGGCTGTATGTGTCTTCTTTTAGCTCACCATTTTAGAGGATTCAGTCTGTTTCCACTTTCCTCCCTTGTTCCACAACCTGTGGTGAGAGAGAACCTCATTGCAGAGAACTCAGTAGAGCATAGCTGACAGGGAAAGGTGGGGCTAGGGAAAACCATACACTTTTCATGACCTGTTTCTATCAGGTAGGCTTCACCTTCTCCTGTTTCCATTCTAATAGTTCATTGATGAGGTTAGAACCCTCATCGTCTCTAAACATGTTCTCTAGTCATGTTCCAGTGACATCAAATCTACATGGGGACCTCATCTTACACATATAAACTTTAGGGGAATATTTTACATTCAATCCTATATTATGTTTTCCTTTGAGCCTTACCAATATGTTAGAGGCACCAAGATACAGATTTGTTCAACATTGAGGAACAAGGTGGAAATTCTTGGGAATTTGTCCCTGGAATTTCCCCTCAGAACCTTGCTGATTTGTGAGTCAAAGCTCTTGATGGCATTAGGCAGCTCTGATCTAGAAGAACATTGGGTCAGAGACATGTACAGTCTAAATGCCAGCTGTGCTCCCTGTGACATAGCACACAATTGTAGTGTGCTGCTGAAACCAGAACCCTGAGATGTAGTTTTTTTATTAAACATTGTTTCAGGGTTGCAGCAAGGTCAATGGATTTTATGGGGATCAGTAAAGGTGTAGCTCCTCTTTCATGTCTAGAATTGTTAGAATACATTTTGAAGTGTCTTCTGGACTATGTCCATGCTGGATGGTAAGAGGGATAAAATTTCACCAAACCAATAAGTGTATCACAGTCCCATGTGTTAGTTCAAGTTGGAGTGCTTTATTAAGCAAGATTGCATTTCATTGCATTGATTTTTGAGTCCTTAAATTTAAATTGTTATGGAAAGAGTGAACACCAAGATTACAGAGAACTATAGACTGTACTACACATCAGTGAATGTTCATATACTTAGGACATCCATTCTGAAGCTGTGGGGCTTCACTTTGGACCTGACATTTTCATTATCAAATATATATTTTGTGTGTTTATCCACCACCATAAACAAACAAAAAGTCCACAATAGAAATATGTAGAAGTTAGGAAAGTAGTTTGATATCCTCATTCACAATTCCTGTCTATGATCTGCATTCCGCACACAGTAATGCTGATTATGGCCCTTGATGGGGCAGACTGCCATGAGGAGCAGCACGTAGAAGAAGAGGCTTTCACTCATGGAAGAGGAAAGCAAAGACATGGTCCCAGAGACCTACTACCTATAGCGAGGTCCCATCTCTTCACGATTACAGGGTTTTCAACAAACAAAGGTTTTCATTTAAATATGTTACAACTATTGATATCTATGGTACTCGAAGTTAAAACTAAATTTCCCAAACTGGAAATACTCATTTTAAAAGTTTCTGCCTGTGACACAAAGCATTAAACTGGCAAGCCTGGCAAGCGTATGTGAAACATTTTACACTCCAACACAGTGAACCCTAGAAAACAAAAGGAGACATAATTCATAGCCCTTCTGAGTAAAAATTTGATATTACAGGAAAGGGGAAATGACTGCTGGTTGTGTTCTGGACATGAACTGAGAATTTCATTATCAGCATTAACTCAATCCCATACCCTTGGTATAAAGCCAGCAGCACTAGTAAATATCAACTTGCCCAGCAACCTCTGTTAAAGTCATTATGCTTTATATTTCAGTAGCTGGGATAGCAAAAGGGTACTCACCATACCACATCATTTACTAACATAACAGTTGTGTTTCTGGTGCTAACCCTCACAGATCAAGAGAAAAAAAGTTAAATTACTATTTCTTACAAGATATAAATGAGTTGGTAGACACAGATACTTGAGTATCAGGCAAGTGGCTGTCTACATTTGCCTTAGAGGATTTTCTGATGGCCACATTGTGTCTTTACTTACTCTTCCATGTTAAATGTGTCTCTCCTGAGCATGTTGTAATCTACAGCACCTATATCTGGGGCTGCACATCTCTTTAGAACTGTCTCTGCAGGGGTGTTATGAACATGTAGGCTCTTTATTAGCTTTCTTTCAAGGTATATAAACAATACTGCATAGATAGAAGCTGAGGGCTGTTTTAGGGCAATGGTTCTTAATTTTTCTGATGTTCCAATAATTTTGAATTGTTAATAGTGTTTGAGAATTCAAATCAGTATTTAGTTAAGTGCTTACCTGTACTGCAAGAGACTCTGGGTTTTACCTGAGCACTCCATCTTTCCCACCTCCTCAACAAACAAAAGTTTTTCAAGAGTTTTAATTTAAATGAGTTACAACTATTGATATCTGTGGTACTCAAAGTTAAAACTAAATTTCCCAAACTGGAAATACTGATTTTAAAATCTTATTGCCATTTTATGAAACAATAATGCCCACTTAAATGAGAAATAAGATTATTTTAATTTTGATGGGTCTCTAATGTTTACTATATGAACTAGATTCTCATACCTACTTCTACCTTGAGTCCATAAATCAGACATTTGTGTATCAGGTTATAGATATATGAAAGTGAAAAGGGGAAGGAAAACTTTAATGATAGTATGAACAGTTTTGACCTTGACCCTCCCCTTTGAAAGGGGCATAGACAACATGTGTTCCTGGACCACACTATTGAAACTGTCTCATTTATGTCATATTTGGGAAAATGAAATGTCATCAGAATTTCAGGATTTATTTATATTCAGGTCATATGACTATATATATTGTCAAAACTATGCTGAGTTGGAGGAAGGAATGTGTGATTTTCTGCCACCTTTGAATATTTAAGATTATGCTCCCATCCTCTCACTCTATCTTTGGCTCTCATTCAGCACAAAACTAAGGAAACATCATTCTAAGACCATATCTCAGAATTATTTCTTGACTACACTGAATTCTGTGAAAACATTTCATCTTCACCTAAAGATAATGTTTGGCTTTGATTTTGTGCCTTGACTTGTTAGCAGCTATGACTTTCAGAGACTTTAATATTCTGAGTTGCTTCCCTCTTGTTTCCTCAAACTTATTTCAGATACTGATGAGTGAGAACTAATTTACAAGAAGTCAAGAGCATATGAGGAAAACAGAAATGTAGATGAGGTTTTGAAATTATTCCTCTTTATTCTACATTTGAGGATACATTTGATTATGGGTTTGTTATTTTTTACTGTTTGGGGATTTTAAGAATATTCTAGATCGCACATGTAATTATTCATCACTTAATAAAATCTGTGAGACAGTTCTCTTCTTGTGCAAACATGATTGTACACTTAACACAGACTTAGATGATAGAGTTTATTGCACACTGAGCTAAATAATGGGGTGTATGTATTATGGCTAGAAGTGCTTTATACTTTGCTTATTCTTCCTCACCAAAACCATAGTAGTACTGACAAGACAAATTCAATGGTGTCAATAGATAATAGAAACTGTCCAGCTCCATTATAATCTTAAGGGATCGTCTTGAATGTGCACACCATCAGTGACCTAGACATCTTTATGAAGAACAATTTTACACACAGAGAGAATGGTTTGGAGTCAAAGGTAAAATTTTGCTCAATTTTATAGAGTGGAATATTTCCCTTCATGTGCACCACCCTGAAGTAAATGGTTAGGGAGTTCCTGCAGCTGTGGTTGGCACAAAATGTCTGTGGACCCTTGTCCTTCCATGTCTCCCATCTTCTGTTTCTTGTCATCCTTCTTTTATGTTCTGTAGAGCCAGTTCTTTCCAGTAGCTCCCACAGAAACTTCCTGGATTGGTTGGTCTGCCAACCATTTCTTGAATGTCACCAGTGTCACTCTATGAGCAGGCATGGTCTCTGATGAGCAAATGACAGAGAAATACAGAAAGCCAAGATTCACACTACCTAAAACTGGTTTTTTTTTGCATTTTTTCATTTTATTAATTACACTTTATTCATTTTGTATCCCCCCATAAGCCCCTTCCTCCTCCCCTACCGATCCCACCCTTCCTCCCCTTTCTGCATGCATGCCACTCCCCAAGTCCACTGATAGGGGAGGTTCTCCTCTCCTTTCTGATCTTAGTCTATCAGTTCTCATCAAAAGTGGCTGCATTGTCCTCTACCGTGGCCTGGTAAGGCTGCTCTCCCCCTCAGGGGGAGGTGATCAACGAGCAGGCTAATCAGATTATGTCAGAGGCAGTCCCTCTTTCCATTACTATGTAACCCACTTGGACATTGAACTGCCATGGGCTACATCTGTGCAGGGGTTCTAGGTTATCTCCACGAATAGTCCTTGGTTGGAGTATGAGTCTCTGGGAAGTTCCCTGTGTTCACATTATCTTGTTCTGTTGCTCTGCTTGTGGAGTTCCCGTCCCCTCCAGCTCTTACTATTTCCCACTTCTTACATAAAATTCCATTCACTCTGCCCATCAGTTGTCCATCACGCTCAGCATCTGCTTTCACAGTATATACTGCAGAGGCTTATAGAGGCCCTCTGTGGCAGGTTCCAAGGTTGTTTCCTGTTTTCTTCTGGCTTTCAGAGGCCCTCTGTAGCAGGTTCCGAGGTTGTTTCCTATTTTCTTTTTCTTCTGATGTCCATCCTCTTTGCCTTTCAGGATGGGGATTGAACATTTTAGTTAGAGTCCTCTCTTTTGCTTAGTTTGTTTAGATGTACAGATTTTAGTGGGTTTATTCTATGTTGTATGTTTATATGAGTGAGTATATACCATGTGGGTCTTTTTGCTTCTGGGGCAACTCACTCAGGATGATCCTTTCCAGGTCCCACCATTTACCTGCAAATTTCATGATTTCCTTATTTTTCATTGCTGAGTAATACTCCATTGTATAGATGTACCACAGTTTCTGCATCCATTCTTCAGTTGAGGGGCATCAGGGTTGTTTCCAGCTTCTGGCTATTACAAATAAAGCTGCTACAAATATGGTTGAGCAAATGTCCTTTTTGTGTACTTGAGCCTCTTTTGGGT